AAGAAAAAAAAAGAAATTATGAAAGAGATAATTTCAGAGAATCCTGGGTAGTTCAAACTGATGGAGAGTGAAGTGAACAGAACCAGGAGAACAATTTATATAAGAGCAACAACCATGTGAAGTAAAACAACTTCAAAAGACTTAGGAAATTGATCTATTCACTGACTTACTGTGTCTGCAGAGGACCTATGATGGAACATGTTACTCACCTCCTGACAGAGACATGATGGACTGAAGGTGAAGAAATAGACATATTTTTAGACAGAAGCACTCTGTAGATTTCTTCCACTTGAGTATACTTATTTGTTACAAGGTTCTTTTCTTCTTTCTTTCTCAGTTTTTAATTTTAGAAGGAAGAAGAGGCCAAAATTAACAATACTAATAACAAAAGAATTTTTAAAAAATAATGCACAGTGACAAAACAGGAAAATGATAAATGTTGGAGATGATGTGGGAAAATTGGAACACTAATGCATTGTTGGTAGAGTTGTGAACTGATCCAACCATTTTGGAGAGCAATTTGGAACTATGCCCAAAGGGCTATAAAAATGTGCATAGCCTGTGACCCAGCATACAAATGGGAAAAGGACCCACATGTACAAAAATATTCATAGCAGCTCTTTCTGTGGTGGCAAAGAATTGGAAGTTGAGGGGATGCCCATCAATTGCGGAATAGTTGAACAAGTTGTGGTGTATGATTGTAATGGAATACTATTGTGCTATAAGAAATGATGTGCAAGACGACTTCAGAAAAACCTAGAAAGATTTGTATGGATTGATGCTGAGTGAAGTGAGCAGAACCAGGAGAATGGTATACACAATAACAGTCACATTGTGTGATAACTAACTTTGATAGACTTAGCTCTTCTCAGCAATGCAAGGATCTAAGACATCCCTAAAAGTCTCATGATGGAAAATGCTATCTGGGGCAGGTAGGTGGAATAGTGGATGGAGCACCAGCCCTGGAGTCAGAAAGACCTAAGTTCAAATCCAGCCTCAGACACTTACTAGCTAGCTGTGTGACCCTGGGCAAGTCACTTAACCCCATTGCCTTCAAAATTTGAAAAAAAAAAAAAAAGAAAGAAAGAAAGAAAGAAAGAAAGAAAGAAAATGCTATCCACATCCAGAAAAAGAACTATGGAGTTTGAATGCAGATCGAAGCATACTATGTGCACTTTTTTTTTCTTTTGCTTTGTTTCTTCTTTCTTGTGATTCCTCCTATTGGTTCTAATTCTTCTTTACAACATGACTAATATGAAAATATGTTTAATAGGAATGTATACATAGAGCCTTTATCAGATTGCACACCATCTTGGGGAGGGAGGTGGGAAGGAAGGGGGAAAAATTTAAAACTCAAAAGCTTATGGAAGTGATTATTGAAAACTAAAAATAGATTAATTGATTAAAAATGCACAGAAGAGAACAAAAGGATCAGCAGGATAGTTTTAAAGGAACATGTGGAATTTAGTATATAGACATGTTAAAATCAAGTGGTATGAAGTGGTGATTTACAGTCATCACGTAGATTTTTTGTGTTCTGTTGTGTATATGGAAATGCTTTTTTTTTGGAAATACTTTTTTAAAAAAGTATTTAAGTTCAGAATTTTAAAAATCAAATAAAATTAGAGGCAAAAATGAGCTATAAGACATGGCCCCTGCTCCTGAGAAGCTTTCAGACTAGTTGAAGATACATAATGTATATATAATTATATAAATAATTAACATGACAAGGAAGAGAATGCTTATCTAAGTTATCTAACGTCATTCATTCATTCAACAAGCATTTACTAAGCATCTATGTATCAGGCCCTGTCCGAAATGCTGGGGATACAAAGACAGAATGAAACACTTGGACCTATACCCTTTAGTACCCCAGTCTTCCCTTCCCCAACTTAATTTGGCTCCAACAGGGATTACAGTAGCTTCACTATTAAATAGAATATGTCATTACAGAAGTAGATGCCATTGCACAATGGAGAGACAGGGAACTGTAGTGGAAAGAGCCCTGGCCTGGGAATAAGGCAACCTAGAGTTTGGTCCCACTGTTTAACCTTGGGCAAGCTGCTTACTCTTTATAAGCCTCAGTTTCCTTCTCTGTAAAAGGGGGCTGGAAGGAGCCTCTTCTTTTAAAATGTAATGATGTCTTTTCTTTTTACATCTCCTAAATTTCTCCCTGGATCCTTCCCCTTCCCCCATCCCAGAGAGACAGACATTACACATAATCAAAAGATTAAAAATTAAACAAAAAGAGGAACAAGAGAAAAAAATCAGCAAAACTCATCAATACGTCTCAAAAAATCTGAAAGTACGTGCAATGTTCCACAGCCATGGACCTTCTACTTCGGCAAGTAAGTTGGGGATGGGAGGAGGAAAAGGTGTCTTTTTGTATCTTTTCTTTGGAGGCCATGATTATTCTTTGTAATTTTGCAACATCCACTTTTGATTGCTTTGTGGTTGTTTACATTTGCATTGTTACAGTTATCATATGTGTTATTTTCTTGGCTTTGTTTTCTTCACTCTGCATCAGTTCATTTAAGCCATTCCAAGCTTCTCTACAGTAATTATTTCCATCATTTCTTACAGTACAATAATATTCCACTAAACCAGTTACCACAATTTGTGGAGCCATCCCCCAATCAACGAGCATCTACTTTGTTTCCAATTCTTTGCTACCACAACAAAGTGCTGCTATAAATATTCTGATCTATATGCAGACTTTCTTTTTATCAGTGACCTTAAGGTATAGGCCTAGTAGTATAATCTCTGGGTCAAAGGGTATAGATATTTTAGTTACTTTATTTCATAATTTCAAATTATTTTCCAAAATGATTGTATTATTTCACAGCTCCACTAACAGAACACTAGTGTGCCTGTCTTCCTACATTTACCACTGCATTTTTAATCATCGCTGCTGATTTGTTGGGTGTGAGGTGAAGCCTCGGTACTGTTTTGATTTGCATTTCTCTTACTAATCAGTGATTTGGATAACTGTCTCTTCTAATTCAATTCAATAAACATTTCCTTCACAGCAACACACTGAATTAGGTGCTGGGGATACAAAGGTGAAACAGATACAGACCTGTCTTCAAGGATCTTACAGTTTGATTCAGAGGAGAGATTCAGGAAAAAACACACACAAAATAACTACAGACATACCTCAGAGATATTGCAGGTTTGGTTCCAGAGCACTGCAATAAAGCACATATCGCAATAAAGTGAGTCACATAAATTTTTTTTGTTTCCCAGTGCATATAAAAGTTATGCTTATACTATTCGGTAGTCTATTAAGTGTGCAATAATATTATGTCTAAAAAAACCCCACGTATATGCCTCTATTGCAGTGAATGAGCACCAGCTCTGGAGTCAGGAGGATCTGAGTTCAAATCCGGCCTCAGACACATAACACTTACTAACTGTGTGACCCTGGGCAAGTCACTTAACCCCACTGCCCAGCTTAAAAAAAAACCAACCCCCCCCAAAAAAATAGTTTATTGCTTAAAAAAATGCTAACCATCATCTGAACCTTCAGCAAGTCAATCTTTTTGCTTGTGGAGGGTCCTGCCTCAACACTGATGGCCGCTGACTGATCATGATGTTGGTTGCTGCAGGCTGGGGTGGCTGTGACAATTTCTTAAAATAAGACAACGATGAAGTTTGCCTCAGTGATTGACCCTTCCTTCCACTTGAACACTTAGAGGCCATTGTAGGGTTATTAATTGGTCTAATTTTAATATTGTGTCTCATAGAATAGGGACGCCTTTTAGAAGATGGAGAGAAACAGGGAATGACTGGTTGGTGGAGCAGTCAGAATACATACAACATTTATCAATTAAATTCAACATCTTAGATGGGTATGGTTAATGGTACCCTAAAACAATTACAATAGCAACATCAAAGATCACTGATCACAGATACGAAGAAGTCTGATATATTGTGAGAATGGCCACGATGTGACACTGCTGGAAAAATGACACCGACAGACTTGTTTGACACAAAGTTGCCACAAACCTTCAATCAGTAAAAAACACAATATCTGTGAAGTGCAATAAAATGAGGTATGCCTATACAGGCTGAATACGATAAGCGCCTGTGGAATTTTCCTCATGCTCCAGCAGAAGATATCCAGAAAGCAGTCAATTGGAAGTACAGGACTGGAGTTCAAGGGAGATATTAGAAAGAATCCTACAGCAGCAGAGATCTCAGATCAGGAATGGGGTATCTTCTCTCCAACACTCGTTGCCCCCATAATCTTGGAAGTGTTTCTATGTTAGTCTTTGATTAAACATGCATTTTTATAATGAGAGGCAACATTACTGTGTTGGGTAGGAGGTAGAGAGAGCTGGCCCTTGGGGTCAGGAATATCTAGGTTGGCGGCTTCTCTCTGACACAAGCTAGTTGTGTGGACATTGGGAAGTCATCACACTAACTTCTCCTGGCTTCAATCCAGACCCATCAGACCTTCCTACCTCTACTACAGCAGTCTTCTCACCCTGGAGATGCCTTCTTCCCCTATTGTCCCTCCTCTGATTGGTGAGTTTCTGCCCAGAACCACCATTTAAGGAAGTCCCAGAGCATCTATGTTCACTTCTTTCCTGGTTCCTCTCACGACTCTCTCCCAACTCTCCATCTTGTAGGTCCCCCTGCCCACTTCCTTTCCAGTTCCCTTGTATGTGTTATCTTACCCTTATGTAAGCTCTTTGAACGTAAGGCCTGCCTTTTTTTTTGTTGTTGTTGATGTTGCTTACATTCATATTTATAACATAATAAACATTTATTAACAAGCACCTACTATGTGTCAGGCACTGTATTCATTGCTGGGAGTATAAATAAGAGAAAGCAAAACAGTTCCTGCTCTCAAGGAACTTACAATTGAAAGGTAGAAGACAACCCACAAAGGAAGCTGAAGCAGGGCAGAGCAGGTACCTGGGGAATGAAGAGTTGGCTGGGCTTCGGAGCCTGGAAGGAATTTTTTTTGCTCCACCGTCCAGCCTTCCAATCAGGGGTGCAGAAGTAACTAAGAGAACTGATGCGATCTCTGGGGATGATGAACTTCCTGATAGCTGGTCATTCCTTTTTAGGGGTGGGAGTGGGAAGTGGGGCATAATGACAGTGGAGTTGAATCCAGTCCAATAAACATTTATGAAGTGCCAGGCACTGTGCTAAGTGCTGAGGACACAATTAATTAAAAAAAAAAAAAGACAATTCCTGCCCCCAATGAACCTGCAATCTAAAGGGGGAGTCGACGTAAGAAAGGAGGCAGGAAAGCACCTGGGTGGGGATGGGGGTGGAAGGGAGATGAGAACCGGACACCAGGGGGGACCCACTGCAGGGGCAATCTCAGGCAGGGCAGCAGATGCAGAGTGGAGTGATCTGAGAGTACAGCTTCTGCCCTCTACAAAGGAAGGCGTTGGGAGGAATTTGGTACTCTGCCCTCCAGCCCTCCAAACAGAAGGGAGAGGAGGCTGAGGAAGGTGGAGTCAATCAAGGCTTTAGTTAGCAGCCTGGTGGTGAGTTTAGAAGGGATGAGCTTATCCTGGAGGGACATCTTGTTGAAATCAGGAAGAGCAGCAGACAGAGAGTGAAGAGTGCACACAAAACGTGTAGCCAGAGGGAAATGCATTTAGCACGGTACCTGGCACAGAGCAAGCACTTACATTTAATAAATTTTCTATCGTTCTATCTATGCCTCTGGACCATAAGTAAAGAGAGGAGCTGTTGATCTGCATTTGTGGAGTGGTTTTCCACACTGGGAATTCCCTACAGCAATGAAATCACATGTCTGGATTCTTCCCCACCATCCACAAAGAAAAAAAAATATTTCTACAACCTTTATCTGTTCCATGAAACCTATTTTGTTTTGCTAATTAGAATGCACTTATTCAGCCCTGCCTTCTATCTTGAAAGACAGACTTCAACTTTGAAACAGTGAATGCCATCACCAGCAGCTTGGTAGCTTAGCGGGGTGGGGGCTTGAGGATTCCAGTCTTGGGGGAAGCACAGGAATGGCCACATGACAGTTTTGCTTCGGAAATGCAGCTGCCTCTTTTACAAGGGAAAGGACTATGAAATGAGACATTGGATCACAGCCCTAGTGCTCAGCAACTATTCATCCGCTTGAATAGTGAATGAATTTGTCAATCTTTGGCTTGCCTTTTGACCCCTGCAGGCCAGGAAGTGAGGGGACTGGAAGCTTTTTAGCTGAGATCTACATCTAGCTATATGGGAGCAGCAAGGTGGCACAGTGGCTAGAGTGCCAGACCTGGTGTCAGGAAGACTCATCTTTCTGAGTTCAAATCTGGCCTCAGATACTTACTAGCTGTGTGACCCTGGGCAAGCCTCAGTTTCCTCATCTGTAAAAAGAAAAGAAATAGCAAACCACTCCAGCATATTTGCCAAGAAAACACCAAATAGGGTCATGAAGAGTTAGACAAGACTGAACAACAACATATAGGTCAATGGAGTCAATGATCGGTGGAGTAGGAAGAGAGATGCAATTTTGAATCTCGATTTGCCCCATCTCTCTGCTACCTTCAGGGCTAGCCCTTCTCCTTTGTGGCAAAGAGGAGAGCAAAGTAGACTTGCAGATGGAGCTAGGTGAAATGATTTTGTGTTTTTTCCTGAAGCATATGCCCAACCTGACATGTAAGTGCCCAAAAGATCATCCAAGGGCTGGTAAGTAGCCTAGTCACTTAGGTCACTCTTGGATTCAACTCTAATTAACCTTTCCAAATGTTTATACCTTTTATCCTCAAGTAGACTATAAGCTTTTTGAAGGTTGGGACTTTGCTTTGTTATCTTGGTATCTGTCTCAGTACGAGCACAGGTGTTTTCATTCAGTAGGCCTTGGTAAATACCTGATCACATGGATTACAGACCTAGAGCTGGGAGAGACCATAAAGATCTTTAAATACAATACCCCCATTTTACAGATGAGGTGACTGGGAGGTCAAGTAACTTGCCCAGTGGTAGAGTCAGGATTGGAACCCAAGGACCTCAGACTCCAAAGCTAGTCCTCTTCCCACTGTACCCCACTGAAAGTCAAATTATTTGTAAACTTTCAACTTCTCATTTTTGAGGCAATACCAGGGCACCTTTTGTAACAGGATCACAACACATTACAACCACAGATGAGACCTTAAAGATCCTCCTTGCTCCAAACCCTTATTTTGTTGTTATTATTATTCAGTCGTGTCCAACTGTCGGCAAAGATACTGTAGAGGTTTGTCATTTCCTTCTCCAGTTCATTTTACAGATGAGGAAACTGAGGCAAACAGGGTGAAGTGACGTGTCCAGGGTCACAGAGCTAGTCAGTGTCTGAGGCTAGATTTGAACTCATGAAGATGAGTCTTCCTGACTCCACACAGGGCACTCTACCCACTTCACTACCTAGCTGCCCCACCCTTATTTTAGGGCTGAAGAAACCAAGGACCACAGACATTAAGCAACTTGCCCCAGGCAGCACATTATACTCCTGAGCCAGATCTTGTGAGCCTGCTCACAAGAGCAGGCAGTTAAATTTTCAGTGTACTTCCACCTCAAAAATTGGCAAAGCTATAAATCATGCCTCGGTTTATTGTTTTGTTGATTGTCCAGACTAGAAAATGATGGATAAAATGTTAATAATAAATATTTTTAAAATGATGCTGATTAACTTAAAATGCGTCTTGGGTACCTCTCCCCCCTCTCCCCATCTCCCCCAGGGAGATAGTTGTTAAGCACTTACTAGGCCATTTCTAGCTGCAGATCACATAAGTAGCAAATGACAAGTCAGGAATTCAAATTCAGTGCTCTGTCCATTAAATTATCCTTCAGTAAGTAACAGTGGATATGCAGCCCAAGACAGATAATCCTGGAGTAGGTGAAACCACCCTATCTTGAAGCTAGGCCACACAAGCATGAACCATGCTTTGAGAGCCTTTCTTCGTGGTTTTTCTATTTCAGTCAATTCAGAGAGGGTCACAAGTTTGAAAAACTTCACCCTTTCTTGGCTTCCGGCATGATCCCCTTCTGCCATGCTCTTTATAGAATCTATGCAAAAATCCTGGCAGAAAGGAAAGAAAGGCTGTTGGGACCCCAGTGCCAGTGATATTGGGTGCTTTGCACATAGCTGCTAGCGTTTATACAACTCTTGTGGTTGGCAAAGTGCTTGACATGTGTTACCTCATTTGATCCTCACAAGAACTTCTTAAGTAGCAGCTATTATTCCCATGTTATAGATGAGGAAACTGGGGCAGCCAGAAGTGAAGTGATGCACTTGACTAGGAAGCTTCTTCGGAGGAATTTGAACTCGGGACTTCCTATCTCCAGGTACACTCGTCTATCTACTAGCCACTCAGCCATGTTTAATAAACAACCAACTGAACTGAACTGAACTAAGCAGATAGGGCACTTACCCAGTCTCCCTCACTCCACCAGAAAGAAAAGGAACGGAGCTGGGAAAGGGATCTAGGCCCCGGGGGTGATGGGAGAAGAACTTGCCCAGCAGAGGGCGCTGGGTTGCAGGGAACCAAAGTGAACAAGTGTAGGGGGGGGGGGGGGGGGGGTGTTTCATTAGATTGTAAGCACCTTGAGGACAGGGGCCTGTTTGTTTCATTCGTGCGCTCGTACAGTGCCTGGCATATGGTAGGCTCTTAAGAAATATGTGTTAGGTGGAATGTGATTGGGGCCTCGCTGGGACAGGGTTCTGGGTCGGGGGGGGGCGAGTGGCCGGGAGTGGGCATGGTGTGCCCGGCGCAGGGGCACGGAAGGCCGTGGGCGGGTTGGCGCTCGGCTCGGGCCAGGAGGGGGCGCTGCGTCCCCGGGGCAGGGAAGGCCTCGGCAGGCTCCCGGCTCTCGGCTCTGGGCTCGGCCCGCCGAGGGCGCTGCTGGTCAGGGCCGCTGCTCCGTGCGCTGTCGTGCGGAGGCCGCCCGGCAGGTCGCGCTGTGGCTCCGGCTCTGGCCCGGCTGGCGCTGGCGGCGGCGGCGGCAGCGGCCCGGGCTCCGCGGGTCCTGGCGGCGGCGGCGGCGGCGGCTGGAGGAGGAGAAGGAGGAGGAGGAGGTGCTGCGGAAGCAGCAGCAGCAGCGGGTGCAGCAGCAGCAGCAGCGGCAGCGGCAGCAGCAGCGGGAGCAGCAGCCGCCGCCCGGGAGCTCCGGGAGCAGGAGCGGCCGCCACCGCCGCCGCAGTGTCCGCTCGGCCTTCGGCCGGCGCGCCCTCCGGGGAAGGAAGGACGGAGCCCCGGAGCCCCGGAGCTCGGGCCATGCTGCGGCAGCGGGACTGAGGCGCCGCCGAGCCAGGGCCAAGCGGAGCCTTCCCCGGGCCGCCCTCCCGCGCCGGCCTGCGCGCCCCGGGCCGCGGAGGAACGGCGGCCTCGGCCTCCGGCGCAGCCCGGAAATGTCTGGCAAGATCGAGAAAGCAGGTGAGGGAGGAGGCGGCGGGGAAGGGAGCCCCGGGCCCGGAGGCAGCGGGCCGGGAGCGGAGCCGAGGCCTGGGCCCGCCCGCCGTGGGGCGGTGCGGGGCGTGCGTGCGGGGCTAGCCCCGCTGCTTCTGCCCGTTTGTCCCCGGAGGTGACTGCGCGGGGCGGGGGCCGAGGCTTCCCCCGGGGCTTTGTCACCCGAGCGTAACCGGGGTCCCCCGCCCCTCCCTGCGGAGCCGAGCGCTCGGCCGGGCTGGGGCCGGGCCCGCGGGGAGCCTGCCGAAAGTAGGCGTGGGGGAGCCGGGCGGCGGGGACTCCGCGGGTCCGGGGAGCGAGTGTGTGCCGGACTCGGGAACCTGCCCCGGCTCCCGGCGGCCGGCAAGTTTTCTCCGAGGCTTGTGAGGGCGGCTTCTCCTGAGCGATTCTGAATGTAGCCACTTAGTAGACCCGGAGTCTGTCCGCGGGGCCGTGGGTCCGTGGGTCCGGGGTCCGTGGTCCGTGGGTCCAGGGTCCGGGGTCCATGGGTCAGCTGAGCTTCCCGACGGAACAGAAGTGAAACTGACATCTTCGAGGCCTAAATCTGAGCGTCTTTTAACTCGGTAGTTAAAAGGCAATAGAGTGTAGTCCACTCAACCTAGTTCCTTGTTGGGCACTGCATGCAATTCGAGTTCTCCGATTGTGTGATACTTTATTTTTAAAAAAGGACTTGAACACAAGGTTTCCCATGTAATCATAAGGGGGACCCCCGCCCTCCAAGTATTTGTTTTTCTCAGTGCATTAAAGAAATAGCTTATGGAGAGGAGCTGCCGACCTGGAAGAGATCTGTCAGGACAGGCAAATTTAAAAGTATCTCCTAAACTATGTGTTTGTAGCTGGGTTGGTTTCCCTTTTATAAGATGAGTAACGCTGATAAAGTGTGCCCTTTGTAATGGGCTCACTGTTTGCATTGAACTTAATTGTCCACGTACGTGGAAGGAAACAGAAAAGATGATTTTGTGGACACACTTGAGAGTTCAGTCAGCCTTTCTTATCATAGGAGCTAAGATCTGGAAACTGTCCATGTGTCTACCCCACATGGCTTGAGGGTAGGGCGCTACTATCTTACAAACCTTGATGCACACCTCAGAAAAATCTTTGCTTCAGCCCTTCTTTGTGTATTCCTAGAAATCTGGGAGGGTTGTCTCCTGGGTGCCTGTTTTCCCAGTCCTGGGAATAGCCTCTCCAAAGATTTGATTACTGTTTTCCAGTGTAGGGCAGTGCATTTAAAAATTATGCTGTGTTTAATGAGCAGGGCAAACATAATGATAGTGCTTAAGCTAAAAGATGGCTAGGGCTCTCCATGATTAATGAGCAGTAGTAGTTTTAGTTGCAATATAGTGTACAAGTTTTACAGCCTTCAAGTAAGAAGGTGGGATCATGCATCCTAGAAGCTCCAGAGGTGGCAGAAGTGGGTTTTTTTCCTGTTATTGTTGTTTTGATAATTTTAGTGTGGTTTTCTGGCCTCTGATCTTAGTGTTGTAGATAGATGCATTTTCCTGTGATATAGCCCTGGATTGGTCTCAGTTTACCCCTCTGTAAAATGGAAGAGAATAAACTAAATGCTTCATTGGGCTTTCTTTGTCTAGATCATTGCTCTGGGCATCTGTTTATAAACAGGAATTTTCCAGAGGTACAGTAACTGGTATCATTTTTTTTTTCCTAGTTTCATCACCATGTGTCCCATCACTGGACAAGTGCTATTCCAGAAATACCACCTGTTAATCTGTGCAGAATTTCTTAGGGACTTCTTGAGCAGTATTCAATCAGAATGGTACCATTTCTGAAGTTTGGATTGCTTTTGCATTAGTGGTATCTTCGAAAAATTTTTTAATTGTCTTATGTCCAGACAGGGGAAGAATAGCTTGTAGAATAGAATTTTTCAGGATTTTTTTTTGCATGAGGTCTTTTTAAAATGTGATGCATAAGATCAAAGCATACTATTTGCTCTTTTTTTCTTCTGTTTTGTTTCCTCTTTCTTGTGGTTTCTTCTATTGGTTCTAATTCTTCCTTACAACATCACTAATGTGAAAATATGTTTAATAGAAATGTATATAATAGCCTATATCGATATTGCGCCGTCTTGGAGATGGAGGGGAGAAAAATTTAAAACTCAAAAACTTATGGAAGTGATTGTTGGTAAATCAAAATAAATTAATTAAAAAAAGGAAAAAAATGTGATGCATAATGGTCTATCTGGGAAGATTCAGCATATGCCCCTGCCTAAATGCAGTAAAACAGATAACCATTCTCTTTAGTTTACTGTGATCTACAGGTGCCCCTCTCTGTATGGAGGAGGCCTGATTTTCTCAAAAGTTTCATTTAAATTGACTTTCGATATCTTCTAGAGAGGTTCCTCCCATGATTCAGTGAATGAAAGGTTGGCTAGGATATTTTTCTGAGTCTGTCAGTATACTCAGTCAGCAAACATTTATTGAGTGTCTATGTAGTGCAGTGGTACAAATAAAAAGAAGATTCAATCCTAGCTGTCAAGAGGTTTACAATCTAATATGAAACCCAGGCACTAACATAGAAAGTTAAATAAGAATACAAGAATTATACCGAGACAGTGTTATCTTAGATTGGAAGCCCCTTGAGGGTAGAGACTTTGTAGTCACTATAACATGGTAGAAAGGGGACTGGACTTGGAGTAAGGATGCTGGCTTCAAATCCTGTCTGGGGAGTCTTACCAGCTGTGTAAGGGATCCTGGGATAAGGTCCTTTCATCTCATTGTGTCTCATTTTCCTCATCTATAAAATGAAGAGGGAGGGAGCTGGATGCAGTGGCCTCCCAGGTCCTTTCCAACTCTAAATCCTTGATCCTTCATACTCCCCACAAGCCCAGCTCTGTAGATAGCACTTAAATGTTTGTTGAATGATGCGCCAAATAAGGGTACAGATGGTAGGTGCTTTACCTGTTCTGAGGAGGGAGAGAATCCTCTAGAGTAGACTAGAGTAGTTCAGGAAGAGAGTTTTGTGTAGACGTCAGACTAGGAAGACAGGGGGATGCAGAGAGGGCAGATTTGGATTGGATCTAAGGGGAAAACTTGTTAACAATTCAGTCCATCCCGAAATAGAAGGGGCACCTGCCTCTGGGAGACTTCCAGGCTAAGGCTGGAGAACAGCTTCTCAGCTATTTTGTAGAGAAGATTCTTCCAGTTCAGGTTGGACTGGATGACCTCAGAGGTCCCTTCTGACCTTGAGATTCTGAACTCAGACTGGAGTTGGGTGTTGAAGGTTTTGGAGAAGACAGAAGATATTCCAGAACAAGGGATGGGAAGGTAACAGGTCTGGAACAGAATTGCTGTTGGTGTTGGAGTGTTTGACTTATGCTGGGTGATTTCCACGGCCAATGACCAGCTCCAGAGAGAAGTGAAAGAGATAAGCTTGGAAAGGTAGACTGGAGCCCAAGTCATACAGGGTCCTATTAAGGAGTATGAACATTATCCTTTAGGTAATGGGAAAGCCATCAGAAGTTCTAAGAGTGACTTGAGGTAGATGAAAATGGCAATTAAGATTAACTTGGGTATGATGGGCAGAATGGATTGGATGGGGCAAGAACTTAGAGGTAAAGGGACTAGTTTTATGTAAATCCATTCAAAGTCAGGCTAGTAGCAGGAATGCTGGGGTGGGGGTCGAGATGTCAGAGTTCCTTTCTAGTCTATTTCTGCCACTTAGGGCAAGTCATTTCACCTTCTGAGCCTCAGATTTCTCATCACGTCTCTTCAGGATTATTTGTGGTAATCTACTAATTGATCTCTCTGTATCCAGTGTTTCCCCATTGCAAACCATTCTCCTGTTTGATATTCCTGAAGTGCTAGTCTGACCATGTCACTCTTCTTCTCAAGAAGCTTCAATGGCTGCCCATTGTCTTTAGGATAATATACAAACTCCTCTCTTTGGCTTTTAAAGTTCTTCATAATCTGGGTCCTTTGCATCTTTCTAGGCTGATTACAGATTATTCCCCATCGTGTACTCTACTATAGCCAAAACGATGTACTTGCTTTACCCTCTTGCCAGCACATCTTGTCTCTTTCCTCCTTGCTTTTGTTCAGGTTGTATGTACCCCATGTCTGGAATATTCTCCATCTTTACCTCTACTTCTTGGAAATCACGGGTACCTTCAGGGCTTAGTTCAAATGCTGCCATTAAAAGGCCTTTCCAGATTTACCCAATTGTTAATCTCCCATCCTGTCTTCCTCCTCTC